CCTCCCCATCAACCCTGCCTTGAGTGTGACAGGGGATGGTGCCCCAACCCCCCAATCAGCCCTACCCTGAGTGTGACTGAGGGTGTCATTGCAACCTCCCGATCACCCTGCTCTGTGCATGACAGGGGGTGGCGCCCCAACTCCCCAATTGGCCTTGCTCTGAGCCCGACCAGGGGCTGCACCTAGGGATTGGGCATGCCCTCTGCCACCCCGGGAGCAGGCCTAAGCCAGCAGGTCGTTATCTCCGGAGGGGTCCCAGACTGCGAGAGGGCACAGGCCAGGTTGAGGGACCCCCTTTCCCCCCGAGTGCACAAATTTTTGTGCACCGGGCCTCTAGTATATACATAATTAGCATCAGTCATACATATACACACATATATATGACTGATGCTAAAATGATTACATTTTGAAGGTATACACTGGAATTAAATACTTAAAATACAAATCATAGCCTTAAATGCCCATATTTGAAAATAATATTAAGAATAAACTGAAGCATTCTACTCATAAAATAAATAAATAAAAGCGAAGGAAATATAAAAGGTTAGAAGTAAAATTTTTAAAATTAGAAAATCAAACCACACAATATTATTGTGATAAATAAAACTATGAACTGATTCTTTGAAGGGACTACTAAACTAGCTAAACCTCTGATAGATCTAAGAAAAAAATGGGGTATGGAGTCAGAGAGTGGGGAAGAATTACTTTCATTTTTCACTCAACATATTCTGTAGTTTGAATATTTAATAATAAGAACTTATAACATATAAAATAATGCAAACATATTTTTTAAAGTTGGGTAAGTATATCTATAAACTTACACTTTCAGCATCACAAAGTAATTCAAAGAGCTTCTTGCTTGAAGGAGGCGACTGATTACAGCATGGTATACGTGACTGTTCAGAAGTCTCGTTTGATGAATTCTTCAACTTTAAATTGAAGAAACGTGATCTGAATGGAATTGCAGCCTCTGTGCCCATGCTTGGAGTACGAGTTAAATTCTGCAATGAAGCTACACTTTCCTTTTGACAGAATTCTACAACAGCATAAAGACCCTATAGCAAAAACATAAAAATAGAACACATTTCAAAATGATGTGTTTACCACAGTAATATTTTAGTTCATATTTCAAAGCAATTATTATAAGGTGAGAAAATATTAATTTTTAAAATTTAAAAATGATAAGCTTCTAACAGGAGCATTGGTTTTAATCATTTTAAACAGTTAAGCAAGATTTTAAAGTGATAATAGTCAAGAGAAGCTGAAAAGAATGCTAAAATAGAAAATTAAAAGGCAAAACAAAGATCCCTCCTACTGGCCTTTATCCCTAAGATAATGGGATTATTTGAAGTATTCAAATAATGAAATCCTTCAATTATAAGCAATTACAGAACTGCTTATAATTCTGTAATCCTCCTATAAGGAGGCCTCCTATTCTCATATCTCAAACATAAATCTCTTAGAGAAATTTAGATAAAGAAAAATATAGAATAGCCAAAGAGAACTTAACTTTACCATATACAAAAAGGCAAAAGAGCTAGAAATAAAAATAATAAGTTTATTGTTTTTCAATACTTACAAAGCTTTCAAAGAAGAAATGATTATTTATAGGTCCATGTTGGGATAAATACTTGAGAAACTTTTTTTCACTGATTTTATTTGGGCAATGTATTAAAATAGTCCGCTGTGCCTGTTCTCGTCTTTCTTTTTGCAACTCAGAGAATCTCTTTTTGGGAGTCCTGTCTTCAGAGCCTATGAATGAGACAAAACCAATTCCAACATGTGTAAAACTTAAAGTATATTTTGATCAAGTACATAAAAATTTTACATCTAACTAAAACCAACTTTATCCCAATCTCATCTTCTTTTCTTCTAAGGATGAAACTATACTACTTCAATTTTCATTGTACCATTTTCTTGTGACTATCATTAAAACTGCCCACTTTCCACCCTGGCCAGGTAGCTCAGCTGATTAGAGCACTATTCCAATACACCAAGGTTGTGGGTTCAATCCCTGGTCAGAACACATACAAAAATCAATGACTACATAAATAAGTGGAACAAGAAATCGATGTTTCTCTCTCTCTGCCCTCACCTCTCTAAAATCAATCAATAATTTTTTTAAATGTTTCAAATGTCCACTTTCTGTTTTTATTTTTTTGATCCTCACCCAAAGATATTTTCCTACTGATCTTTAGAGAGAGTGGAAGAGAGAGGGAAAGACAGAGAAATATTGATGTGAGAGAAACACATCCATTGGCTGTGGCTGACCAGGGCCCGGGCTGGGGAGGAACCTGCAACCCAAACGAGGTAAGATACTATCCTTGACCAGAATCGAACCCGGGACCTTTTGGTCCACAGATGGATGCTCTATCCACTGAGCCAAACCAGCTAGGGCTGTTTTGATGTACTATATTCAATGCACAGTGCTAAAAAGAGTTCCACAAAATTTTAAAAACAAAACCAGGAAAGTAAAATCACTCATTTAACATTTCCACAAATGCACACATGCAAAATCTGTGTAAAATGTAACATTCCACAGTCTGAAATTATTATAAGCTTGAGTTTAATGAGACAATGAGGTTAGAAATTTAATGTAGTGAACTAAGTTATTACAGTTTTTCTTTGTCAAGGGTCTGGATTAGGCTTAAACAATTAACAATTATCAACTATCATGTGCCTAGGGAAATCAAAGAATTTAAAACCTAGTTGCTGCTCATAAAGAGCTCATGATAATTTTATTAAAGAAAGAGGGTAAAAAAAAATTTTATTAACAACCACTCTAGAGGTTAGGGGTTTTACAATCACAGGAAATAAAGAAAAAAAAGAGCTGTGATGGTCAAGAATTAAATACTACTAATCCACTGACCACAAAGAAAAGATCAACAACTGAACCAAATGTCAAATGAACCAAGTATAAAGAAAAAGAAAATCATTTAAGTTAAAGTCAAACACTGAATCTTAGGAATTCATTTTTTAACCCAACGTATTTAACTTATAGTTGGATGGCTTAAAAGTGCTTCTTCTAAAAATCTGGAATGGTATAATCTAGAGATTATAATCCAGCGTGTCTAGTATCAGTACCCTCCAAAAAATTCCAAAGAGATTAAATAGAAAATGTAATGGATGTATGGAAATCAAGAGGCTTTTTAACATCATATTCTTTCAAAAGATTATTATAAAACTAAAAGACAGCCCGGCCAGCATGGTTTAGTGGTTGAGTATTGACCCTTGAGCCAGGAGGTCACGGTTTGATCCGGATCAGTGCACAGACCGAGGTTGTGGGTCTGGTCCCCAGTGGGGATGTGAGGGGGTGTCGTGCAGGAAGCAACTAATCAGTGATTCTCTCTCTCCCTCTCCCTTCCGCTCTGAAATAAATAAAAATATATTTTAATAAAACTAATAAAGGAAATACTGCAAACACACTATTCTTTTATTTAAGCAAATTCCAAGACATTCTCATCAGTGATGGCAAACACGCGTGTCAGAGGTGACACACGAACTCATTTTTTTGGTTGATTTTTCTTTGTTAAATGGCATTTAAATATATAAAATAAATATCAAAAATATAAGTCTTTGTTTTACTATGGATGCAAATATCAAAAAGATTTCTACATGTGACACGGCACCAGAGTTAAGTTAGGGTTTTTCAAAATGCTGACACGCCAAGCTCAAAAGGTTCGCCATCACTGTCATAGATCAATCAAAAGCTCTTAGAATTTTTCAAATTCAGGTAAAAGATTATTTTTATTCTTCCCTTCGAAGAAAGCTATGAGCACAGGGACATGGAGCTACTGGTGGCCACGCGCTCCCCACCATCCACATCCCCAAATAGAAGAATCTGAGATTACGAAGCCACCAAACAACAGCTGAGGAAAACACCACCTCACACTGACCACATCCATCCAGTCAACCTTAAAGCAGCTGTGTATTTTTCTGGAGTTCGGTCACATGGGTTGGTGTTCCTCCCTTTTTTACTTAAGATACTTTCAATTAGCTTCTGTCACCTGCACCCAAGAGTCCTGAATAATATACTACATATTTCTTATTCTTAAATCAGGTTTCTTTCCATTACTCACATGAAACCTATGTTAAAACTAAGATTACCATGGAAATGGGAAATTAGTCGATTTTAGCCCATTATAAACATTTTTCAACCATTAGAGCCTGACCAAAAATGAAATTGCCTGATTTATAAAACAGTGTTCTCTTTGTTACTAGAAAATATTACTAGGAATGTTCTGGCAATGAGTTCACACATTGAGTAAAAAACTGAATTAATCCTTTCAATTATAAAATTATATGCTTCTAAATGAGTATAAGGTATAGTTACCTTCTCTTTTGAAGTCTGAAGAAGAAATTCAAATGAGGATTTTATTACTGTCCCTGAATGCTTAGCCAGTTATATTATCCTAATGATACAAAATGAAACACATTTCCTAAAAAAACAATAAAGCTGTATTAACTGAGTAGTCTTGGAATCAGAAGTTTTATTCTTATCTTAGCTACTGAACAGCTGGGTAATTTTGAATTAGCCACTTGGACTAGTCTATTTCCTCATCTATCAAATAAAGTAACAATAATTCCTTCCATATCTACTTTAAAGAGTTTTATTTTTCAGAGCACATGAAAATACTCTGAAATTTAAACCACTATACAGATGTCACATTATAATAGCTTGTTTGGCAAAATCCTTAAATTTTCAGAGTTCCTTAAGAATTTTTTAACACAAGCAGCTTCTAAGTCCAATCCAATCAGTATTCCAATGAAACGTCATATTAAGTAATATTTCTCCCTGTCCATATGATTCTGTCATACAGTCTGATGGGGAGAGCAAGCCTATCATTTATTTTATGGGGGAAAAACTTTGCTTGTTTAGCCTGCTTCAGAACTGCTCCCAGAAACAATTTCATATCTTAAAACTACAGCTCCAGGAAATAGAAGAAATCAACACGTTTTGTTTACCGCTCCACTTGAAGTCTAAACTCAGCTCAGTGACACTGCACAGGTCATTCAGCTCTTTGAGTCTCGTGCCACGTCTGTAAAACGGGTCCACTGACACATTTCTTGCTAGACTGTTTTAAGGATTGCAAACATGCACACAATTCTTGGACCACAGAGGGGTTCAATAACCGGGGGCTTGTCAATACACAAGCCCATGAATGTAGAACGCCTGCAGGGCAATAAATAGCCTGTTCCAGTGAATGCCTATCTGTTACCAGATTTATTTTGCTCACAACGGATAAAATAACCAAGTCAACGGCAGCGGACTTCACAGGCAGGGCCCTACAGTTGGGGGCCAGGGTCGTGGTTATTCATCAAGACTTCACTACACTTGGCCTTCATCAGCAATTCGTATCAAAGTCAGAAACACCTGTGAGTCATGAAGTACCTGACTGGTACTGGCACATACGTTATTATTGGGAACATTATTTCGCCAGATTGTAAAATACTAGCAAGTTGTGTTCTTGACCTGAACCTGAGAGGTTTAAGCAATTCTATTGCGGCGCACAGGAGTCCACAGAGGAAAGAACGCCACAAACCCCACGCCAAGAGCCACCGGGGCAGCCCGAGGTCCCCCGGGGGTGTCAGAGGAGCACAGGACGCAGCCTCACCCTCGGTTCCACGGCCGATCCCACGAGCCACGCGTTCGCCCGCGATCCCAGTCTCTTCCCCCTTCCCTCGCCCGCGGCGGACCGGGCTACAGAGCAAACCGGGGACACGGCGCCATCACCTGTCTCCGCGCTCCCCGAGGACTGCTGTTCCCCCCTGGCGTCTGCGGCCACGGTTCCTGGGCAACTCAGCCGCCTGTGGATTGGACGCAGGACTTGACTTCTCTGAGCGCACATGGACAAGCGGCTCAACAGGCCCATGCCGCGAGCCGCCATTGTGAAAGCAGTGGACGCGCTGAGACGAAAGGGCACGCAACTTCGCGCAGGCGCGCTGAGGCGAAAAGAACGGGCAGTCTAGAGGGTCAAACTAGGCGAAAGGCGTTTGCTTACAAAAGAAGACATTAAGTCGGGAATGAAACTGTTTGAGCTTTCAGACGTGTTTTGTTCCCCCACAGTTCTGTAAAGGAAGACCCAATAGCCCGCCCGGCCTGTGGCCCCGGTTTTGAGCGCGGCCCCTCCAACAGGTCGCCGGTTGATAACTCTATATTTAATATTTTGAGGAGCAGAACCTGTCAGGGCACTGCCCGGTTTCAGGCTCCATCCTCAGTGTGGGTGTACCAGAGGCATCCAATGGATGATTCTCACACATGTTTCTATCTCTCTCTCCCTCTCCTTTCCGCTCTCTATAAAATCAATAAAGACATATTTAAAAAAATAAATACAAGGAGACCCAACAGTTTGAGCATGCCACGAGTCGTGAAAAGAAACAGAGCAAGGTCATGAGGAGGAGGCACTGACTTGGGAATTTATACTTTGGGTATAAATAACAACGGTTTTTCTTTACCCGATACTGCTCTAAGTTCTTTCGTGTATTGACTCTTCATCCTTAGGACCACCCTATGAGGTAGGAACTGTTAATAATCTCTATTTATGCATGGGGAGATTAAGGCATGGGCAAGTTAATATTCCTAAAGTCACACAGTCAGAGCAGAAATAGGCATTAAACCTCGGTTGTGTGGTACAGGGTTCATTTTTCTTTTTTCATGTAAACAAGTTTATTGTGATTTAATCTATATATTAAACAGTTCACCTCTTTAGGTATACATGCAATAGCTTTTGTTTTTAGTATAGTCACAGAATTGTGCAAAATGCACCACAATTATTTTTACATATCACCTCCAAAAGAAGCCTTGTGCTCCTAGCTATCACCCATGCCCCATCACCACACTCCCCACAGCCCTTCATAACCACTTATCTACTTTCTGTCTCGATGGAATTGCCTGCACTATACATTTCATATGAATAGAATCATGCAATACGTTGTTTTTTAGCAACGGGTTTCTTTCAAGGTTCATCCATGTTGTAGCATCTGACAGTATTTCATTCCTTCCTATGGTCAAGTAATATTTCATCATATGGTGCTAAAAGATAAATTAAGGCATATTAAAAGTGCTGAATTTATTTGAGCAAAAATTAATTTAAATCGGGGAGTATCCAATCTAGCAGATAGAAAGGAACTCCAAAGAGCTGTACAAAATGAAAGACTTTTATAGGCAGAAGGGAGGGAGAATAAGGAAATTATACTGGCAAAAAAGCAGGTTGGTTATTGCAAAGTTACTTTACTTTAGGGAATAGCAGGTGTCTACCAGGCAGATTACTTAAATAGTGCTGATCAGGTGACGATTGGGTTGATTCCATTTCTAGGGGAGCTGAAACTATAATTAAGTTAAACTGGTTTGGTGACTTGGGGCTTAGCATGAGCAAGTCCATTTGGACCTGTTGCCTGGTTTTCAACAATGGATATGTCACATATGGTTATCCATTCACCCGTTAATGTACATTTGTATTGTTTACATCTTCTTGCTATTATAAATAATACTGCTATGAACGGTCATGTGTAAGCTTTTGAGTGAACATATGTTTTCACTTCTCTTGGGTGGAAGGACTAGATCAGGAGTGGGCAAACTTTTTGACTGGAGGGCCACAATGGGTTCTTAAACTGGACCAGAGGGCTGGAACAAAAGCATGGATGGAGTGTTTGTGTGAACTAATATAAATTCAAAGTAAACATCATTACATAAAATGGTACGGTCTTTTATTTCAATAGTTTTATTCATTTCAAATGGGCTGGATCCGGCCCGTGGGCCGTAGTTTGCCCACGGCTGGACTAGATTATATGATAACTCTATATTTAATATTTTGAGGAGCTACTAGGCTAGTTTCCAAAGCAGCTGCACATTTTCATTCCCACTAGTAGTGTTCAAGAGTTCCAATTTCTGTACATTCTTACCAATGCTTGTTATTTTCTGCATTTTTAAAAATAATAGTCATCCTAATGGCTATGAAGTAGTATCTCACTTTATTGATTTGATGAATGTTGAGCTCTCCTCATGTGATTTTTGGCTATATGTGCATTTTCTTTGGATAAATGCTTTTTTTCAGAGCAGATATTTTTAAATTCTATTATTTGTCTTTTTATTATTGTTTTAAAAGTTTGTTATATATTCTGGATATAAGTACCTTATCAGGTATATGATTTGCAAATACCCTATCCCATTCTGAGGGATGAATTTCACTTTCTTGATGGTTCCCTTGAAACAAAATTAATTTTGATGAAATCCACCTTATCTATTTTCCCTTGTATTGCTTATGCTTTAGTGTCATATTTAAGAAACATTGCCTAATTCAAGGTTGTGAAGATGTACACCTATTTCTAAGATTTTATTTTATTTTTTTTAGCTCTTACATTGAGTTAATTTTTGTATATGGTATGAGGTACGGGCCCAACTTCATGTTTTTGGACATGGATATCCAGTTGTCTCAGTACTATTTGTTGTAAAGACTCTACTTTCCCCATTAAATGGTATTGTCATACTTATTGAAATCAGGTGATCATAAGACACCTGGGTTTATTCCTAGATTCTCAACTCTGTTCTCGACCTTTATGCCTATTCTTATGCCAGTACACACTGTCTTAATTACTGTAGCTTTGTAGAAAGTTTTAAAATCAGGAGGTGTGACTTCTCAAACTTTGTTCTTCTTTTTCATAATTGTTTTGGCTATTAAGGTTCCCTGCATTTCCATATGAAGTTTAGGATGAACTTGTTAGTTGTTGCCAAAAAAGCAGGTAGGATTTTGATAGGGATTGTGTTGAATCTGTAGATCAATTTCAGTAGTATTGTCATCTTCACAATATTAAATCTTCTAAAACATGAACATGGGAGGTTCTTCCATTTATTTCATTCTTTAACAATATTTTTCAGTTTTCAGTGTATAAACCTTACAATCTTATTACATTTATTTCTAAGTATTTTTTCTATGTGACACTATTATAAACAGATTTGTTTTCTCAATTTTGTTTTTGGATTGTTTACCCAAAGTTATAGAAATACAATTGATTTTTATATATTGACATTATATCCTACTAGAGGTCCAATGCATGAAGATTCATGCAAGAATGGGCCTTCCTTCCCCTGGCTGCTGGCACCATCTTCGCTTGGGCACGGAGCCGCCTTTCCGCCTTCCCATGCTGCCCAGAGGCCTGGAGTGGCTGGGGCAGTGCACAACACCTGTGTCCCGCCCAGCTTCTGGCCACTTGGTGCCTGTGCATGCAAATTAACCCACCATCTTTATAGGGTTAATTTGCATACTCACTCCTGATTGGCTGGTGGGCATCATGAAGGTACAGTCAATTTTCATCTTCCCCTTTTATTAGTGTAGATAATCCTGCTGACAACCTTGGATTCCTGCAATAACCCCACTGGTTCATGGTGTATGATCCTTTTTACATGTTGCTGCACTCAGCTTGGCTCTTTTTACCATACTCAGCATAGTCTGTCCTCAGCCCACTGGCTAGAATGTTGTGATCATGCCATTCTTCTTTTTTTTTTCCCCCAAAACCCTCCAGGGTTGTTTTTTTCCATTCTATTATTTATGAAAACACAATTTGTAATAAAAATTAAAATGTAAGGCATGTTTGAGTTTCTTTGAACCACTTGAAGAACAACCTTTAAAAATGTCCTTCAAATAGTTTGGCAGTATTTGTCAGAATTAAAATGCACATAAGCTTTGACCCAGCAATTCTACTTCTAGAAATTTATTGTGTATATATACTGGCTCAATCTTGTAGCTTATTCCTTATAGCAAGAGTTAATAACCTAAATAAATAAGGAGGCTCTTTATTTTTATCTGGAGCCATCTTCAAAATTTATTATTAAAATTGCGGCCCAGCCAGCATGGCTCAGTGGTTGAGCATCGACCTATAAACCAGGAGGTCATGGTTTGATTCCCAATCAGGCCACATGCCAGTTTGTGGGCTTAATTCCCAGTGTGAGGCATGCAGAAGGCAGCCGATCAATGATTCTCTCTCATCATTGATGTTTCTATCTCTCTCTCTCCCTTCCTCTCAGAAATCAATAAAAATATATTTTTAAAAATTTGCTACGTAAAATAAGCAACACACACACACACACAAAGCACATTTGCTTGTATGCATGCAGACTATCTCTGGAAGGATATACAGTGGGGCCTTGCCTTACGAGTTTAATTCGTTCCGTGACAGAGCTCCTAACTCAAATTACTCGTATGTCAAATCAAAAAGTGAATGAGTGAGACACGTGATGCTGGGCTGATGTTGTGGCGTTCACTGTGACATTTGCTGTGCCAACTAGCAGTGGGGTATCTGAAGCTGGCTCGTAACCTGAATTTTAGCTCGCAACTCAAAGCAAAAAATCGGCCGAGAGACGGCTCGTATCTTGAAAAACTCGTTAGTCGGGACACTCGTAAGTCAAGGCCCCACTGTACTAAAAACCGGTAGTCTTGTTTGACTTTGGAAATGAAACAAAGGCTGGAAGACAACTGTGGAAAGAATATTTATACCTTTGAATTTTTAAATATTTTAAGCATATAATTCTAAATTTTATTGATTTTTAAAAAATATGTGTTTTTATTTATTTGAAAGAGAGAGAGAGGGAGGGAGAGTGAAAGAGGGATATATCAATCTGCTGCATTGAGCCTGCAACCCAGGCATGTGCCCTGACCCAGAATCAATCCAGCAACCTCTTGGTTCATGGGTTGGCACTCAACTACTGAGCCATACCAGTGGGACCTGAATTTTATTTAAAATACTTCTTAATTAAAAATGTGACATGTATTTATTTTAATTATTTTTGTCTCTATTCTCTAAATTCTCTATATTGAATATGTGTTATTTTCATATTGGGAAAATTTCAAGGAGATTATTTAACACTTTTGGAAAATGTAACGTTATTTTTCTGTGTATAAGATGCCCCCCACTTTTCCAACCCACACTTAAGAAATCAATATTTTAAACATTTTGCTGGCTTTCCTCTTAAGGCAGCGGTTCTCAACCTGTGGGTCGCGAC